TAGCTTCTGTAGCAGTACCATACCAAAAACAATCAGAACAATTAAACTACAAAAAAATAAAATAAATAAAAACTCACTTATTTGACTTCAGGTTCAGTAAAAAATCAACAGTAGTGAGCTGTGACCAAATTCAGAGGATACCTCCTACCCTGTCTAGGTGGGCCAGATCCTTGGTCGACTGCAAAAACTGGAAAAAAAGTGGCTGTGAGTTTGGACGGTCTAGCTTCCTACTTTATTCCCACCTTTACCCCGGCGTATGCTAGCAACCGTGACAACGCTAAACAGAAGCAAAAATAGATCAAATTAGCAAAATCTCAATATATTATTATTAATATTATAAAATGGCAAAAAATTACCTTAAATTGCAATTTCTGACTAGAATTGTATTGAAAAAAACATGTCTATACAAATTACAAAATCATTAACAACACAACCTTTGTCTGCAATTACAAGCAAATAAAAACAATCTCTGGTTGGCCTGCAGTTCATCATGGGACATGGTGGTCCGAGAAGGATCCATCAGACCTGTCCCAGCAATCGGGTAAAAAAAAAAGAAGGGTCATTTGTGGGCCACATCAGAGCAGTCTTCAAATTTAGACAGTATCCTGCGCAGCGCTGTGATGTAAGCAGCCAAAAAAATCAGTCTTCTGAGGACGCAGCCCCTGAATTTGGACACAGGCTTATCACTGTTGATTTTTTTTACTGAATCTGAAGTCAAATAAGTGAGTTTTTTATAGTTTGATATCAGGTCCAATATGTGTCTTTTTTTTTCTTTACTCACTTTCTAATCTGTATGTTCTACTCGATGTGACCTTTAACATTTTTGACAATTTCATTTGTGTCTGGTGTGAGCTTCTGCGGCTGTGAGACTCTGTCATACTGGCTAAATTTTGCATTAGCATGATAAATACAACTTTAAAACTTTCCAAATACATTAATAATAAAACATTTTATTTGAAGGCACTCAAGGACACCGTACAATTAAAATACAATATATAATGCAGTAAAAATCAAAAGAACAACAAATGAAAATAGCAATAAAACATTAAAACATCATGCATAACATAATGTGAAATTTAGGTGATGAGAGATGGAGGTTAAACTGATTATGCCTGTTTGAAAAGAAGAGTTTTAATCTGTGATTTAAAGATGGAGATGGTGGGAGAGTTTTTGATGTCCGGTGGGAGAGAGTTCCAGAGGTGGGGTATTGAAGGACTGAAAGCTCTTGAGCTCATAATGATCAGACGAGCTGGAGGTTGAGTGAGTTGAGTGGAGGAGGAAGACCTGWGAGAGTAGGAAGGAGAAGTTCTGTGAGATACTGTGGGGCTTTGAAAGTGAGGAGCAAGAGTTTTTATAGGAAATGCCAAATTGAAAAGGGAGCCAGTGAAGATTCTGTAGGAGAGGTGTTAWATGACTGGTGGAAGGGGTTCTGGAGATGATGCGAGCAGCTGAGTTTTGGACCAATTGTAATTTATGGATGGATTTAGCTGGTAAACCAAAAATAAGAGAGTTGCAATAATCTAGATGTGATGTGACCAAAGAGTGAAACAGAATAGCAGTACTGCTGGGTGAGAGGGATGGACGAAGACTAGGGATATTATGGAGGTGATAGTAGGCTGAACGAGTGATGTACTGATATGGGATTTATATGATAATGTGTTAGTCAACAATTATTGCTTCAATTATTGTACTTCAAACAGTCCTTTGCAATATGAATATTGTACACACTGACATTGCAATGACAATATGGGCTATCTTGTGCATCCCTAATGGCCACCACAGCTAATTGACCATATACATTATAATTGTAGGCCTATTCTTAGAAGGAATACATTTGACTGAGCTGTAGCCATTGTTGATGTTGGCCAAAGATGTTTAGCTATGGGAACCATGTTTTGAACTGGGTTGACTTCAAATGTWAATGAGTTTTAGATGTACCAAGATCAGACAAAAACAAAACAGAAACTAGAGCCCTCAAACKTACAGTATACTGTACTTAGGTATAACTTAATATGTGTTGCTGATATGGGCTGTGTCCATATTCAGGGGCTGCATCTTTTGAAGGCWGATTACATCACAACAACRTGTCCAAGGCTGTCCAAATTCAGAACTTCTCCAAGTGTGGCCACAAATGTGTCCTCCTTTTCCCACAATTTGAAGGGCAGGTTCGATGTACTGTTCACAGCCCACCCTATCCCATTATGTAT